CAAAAGAATCCAGTGTTAAATGCAAACACAAAGCACTAACGGCAAATTCAGTGAACTTTTAATGGACGATATTAAAAATAATGAAAATAAATTATAAAATTGAATAAAAAAAGGATTAAAGGTTGTAGAAGGTATCAGTGCTGCTCTCTGTTTAATTCTTTCCTCAGCGGCCGGGCAGATACCAACAATTGCTCTGCTGGCAACATCCACTACCACTGGAGTGGCTGCGGCACCGACACAAGTACCCATAGTTGGCAGTCAGATGACAAGACAAGCCAGACGGCTCTATGTTGGAAACATTCCCTTTGGGGTGACTGAGGTAAAGTCTCCGGTTACTCTTCTTCTTCTGTTAGTTCCAGTGACTGTGATGTCTTTACCCAACACAGATATCTTCATGTCGCAGTGAGTCCCATGATCACATTGCCTGTGTTTTCTTTCTCTGCAGGAGTCCATGGCTGAGTTCTTTAATGCTCAGATGCGGCTCGCAGGCCTTTCACAAGCTCCGAGTAACCCTGTACTCGCTGTGCAGATTAATCAGGATAAAAACTTCGCTTTTCTTGAGGTACGTGTTTCTGACACAAAAAAGAGATAAGGCTGTAAAATTCCATATTTCCATGACTATCATAGAAATCCCATGAAAAGACCAAGTATTTTCTGTGTATAAGCTGACTCTGTTCCACTGCTGTCTAATTATCAATTTCAATTATTCCAGTTATTTTCTATATGAGTAAAGATTTAGTTAGTGTGCTGCTTATGTATTATTGTGTACTTCACCTTTGCCAGCAGCATGGCTCTAAAGATGGCAAAGTCTGTCGATCCATGTTGGTCCAGACTGAAATGTCTCAACAATTAACAAATGAATTGCTGAGACATTCATGGTCTTTAGAGGATGACAACCTTTTATGATCCTGTGAATGCTTATGATGCTCCATCATCAGCGTTTAATTTAGTCAAGTTATGACTGCATACCTGTAACTGCTGTGCCTGAGTTCAGCCGTGCAGTGTTTTTGCAGGAATGTTCACCGTCTTAGTCTTGCTGAAGACAGAGTTGACCTCCCAAAGGGGGGGGGGGGGGGGACTTTTCTTTTTGAGCTCATTAGATGTGCAGTTATTTATTAACAATAAATCAAATAAACATGACAGATCAGCAAGAGCAACTATAACCTACAGGAAACTGCTTCAGCTTGAAAGGGGGGAAAATACGAGTGAGCTATTAAACAGCAGAGAACTGTGGCGATTGTATTATTTCTGTTGGATCTGTAATCAGCCAACAACAAAAATGAGGATAATAATAACTTGAATGGCACTCAGTGGAACTCATGCCTCCACCGAGGCCAGACAGTGTCCTTAAATTCAATAACACCGAATTGCACACACGCATTGATATTCATTTTTCTTAAGTAAGCCAGATTTTTTTCATCAACATCATTGTTAAACTCGCACAATCTTAAAGAAATTGATGAGAAAAAAAAGATTCCTGGATCCACTTCTTTGTCTGGATCAGCGCCATAATTTAATCAGTTCTCTCTTGGCCCACATCCCATCTGTCCACCAAGTTTTGTGGAAATCTTTTCTGCAATTTGTGTATGATGTTGCTCACAAACAAAGATAACCTCCATGATTCTCTTCATTTTATACTTATCAAAAATCTATGGTCAACACACACATGCATACAAAGTGTATTCATCTCTAAAATAACAGTGACAATAACTGAGACCCGCTGATGATGCAGAACATTCTTCTCTTTCCCGCCTCTTTCACACAATATTAAAAGTTTACATCGTGTCACTGTGGGGAAACTTTGCAGCAGAAGTCTCAAAGCATTGTTTTTTGTTTTTTTATAGTTCCGATCTGTAGACGAGACGACACAAGCCATGGCCTTCGATGGAATCATTTTCCAAGGTCAGTCTCTGAAGATTAGACGACCTCACGACTATCGACCTCTACCAGGTATCTCAGAGCAGCCAGCGTTTCATGTCCCAGGTTTGTTCCAGCAGTTTCAGCCAGCAGTAAAAACAATTCTGTTAGGGGATGTAGAACTTTGATTGGACTTTTAACCTTTAATTTCTTATCTCTGTTTAGGTGTTGTCTCCACTGTTGTTCCCGATTCCCCCCATAAACTGTTTATTGGAGGCCTGCCAAACTATCTAAACGACGACCAGGTATTGAACTGAAAACAGACTGAACTGGTGAACTCATGTTTCCTCTTTTTATTTTCTCTCACTTGCTGAGGTTTTTGTTTGACACACAAGCACAAAATATGTTTTTTCATTTCTTTATGACCTGATAAACCAAAAATATGTTGTGGTAACGAGCAAACATGCGAAACAAGTCATATTATTGAATCAAACATAAAACTATTACTGCAAAAACAAAACAATTTAACACAGAATAAGGAAAACAGATAAGGCTTACTAATTAATGTGAATATGTTTCTTAAAATACTCACAATGGAAAACTTCTACAGATAAACAAGCTATTTTTCAAAATAAATCTCAATAACATGGATCGGATTTTACATGAATGTTAAAATAATGTTTTTTGTGACTTTATTACCTGAGTAAACTGCTTATACCTGCTTCATGTTAAGCTACTCATTTAGTAAAGGTAAGCAAAATCCAGTATATTCACATGAGAGGTCGATAAACTGATATATAGTTTTTTCTGTGTGGTATTTAGGCCTGAATGTTTCATTGTCAAAGAAAAAGTCCACCTTAAGAAATCCTCTGTATTTGTTAATTTCTCATATAGTAGCAAAGTAGGTATATTACGTTTTGAAGCTAATGAGGGACAATGGACATCAAACAACATTATCTTTGGTTTGTGGAAATTGTGATTATTACCATGAAGATATTAGTTCCCTGAGTAATTGTATAAGCAGCTTATACAAAATTAAAATCTTATCATGTTCCAATCAGTCAGTGAAGATTTTGATATATGAAAAAAAGACTACTGACTATAGACTGTAACTAAAGATGATGACACATTTCGACTTCCTTCCACTGTACAAAAATGAAGCCAAAATATCCTTTATATGGGTGTCGCCATCTTGTTCGAGTTTGGGCAGCAGTGATCGTGAAGGGAAGCACGCTTAGTCTTGCACTGAATCAACTCAGTCTCAGCTTTCAACCAGGTGTCTTTCATTTCATCAAATAATTAATTTAAACCTAACTTATCAGAAGCTTAAACAGTTGAACAAACGCAAAAAAAGCAAAAATCATTTCACATCTTTTGACTGGGGAGGCGCTGTTTACAACCTAAACTGCAGCCAGCCACCAGGTGATGTTTTGGCTGCCGTGTCTTCCATCTTTGTTTAAAGTTTATGCTATTGACCACTTAATCTCACTTTTAACCTAAAAAATCCTCATCTGCTCACAATTCTACTCACCACCTACTTCGAACAAGCATAGTCTTTGTCTGTGGTGGTTATTGAAATGCATTATGGGTCACAGGCAGTATGAGAGAAAGTGGATACAACATAATGTCATCAAACAAATCCAGAAATACAGTGTAAATGATTCAAATTAAAGGTACAAGAGGACTTGAGGTTGGACTTTTTCACTTGAATATGAACATTTACAGTGAATATTTGCTGACAAGCTGAAAGACTTGAAAACTTCTGCAGAAGGATCAGTTTGACAGTCGAGCTCCATCGTGTACAAAGTGAATTTAATTCTAACTGTCCATTCTGTCTCATTAACTCTTAATTAGTTTACAGAGCACATGTTGCCTGATGTATATATTCACTAACGTTTTATTTTTTTTGATTACTTGCAGTCACTTCCACTGCGTTGATACTCACAGCTCTTTCATTTTTGTTCCCCCCACTTTGTCCCCAGCTAGGGGCCTGTAAGATCGTTAAGTCTGCGCTCATAATTTGTTCAGTAGTACTCATCTACTGCTGCCATGCCAACATGTAACACAAGGCAAGTAAGACATTCTGGTCCTCACACGGATACACTTCGAGCCAGCAGGCTCCCTTACTGGCTACTTTCTTTCTCCCATCATGCTTTTGGAGCGCGTTTAGGACCGGGGGATGTAGTTGTTGGTGGTGGTTACTTTTGATGGGGTGGGGGGTGTATTATTTTTTAAATGTAATGGTAAGACTGTATGGATGCTCTGGTGCAGTCACACAGTCAGTTTTCAAACTACTTTTTTTTTTCCTTTTTTCAACATTAAACTGCTCAGTTTGTTCTCATTATGTATATGAATGAATATGAGACAATTATCTGTTTATTCTATTCATGTGTAAAACTTAGAATAAATAGGGGTGAAACAATGAGTCACTTAATGAAAAAGTCAATCAATGTAAAATTAAAGCAACACTATGCAACTTTTTTTTATCTTAAACCCGCAGCTTGATCAAAATGAGTTTAATGGTTCACTGATGTAGAATAGAGAGAATGTTTCCTCTTTCATTCCTCAGCCGCAACGTCTGTTTTACTTTTGGGTGAATGGGCTCAATTTCGTGATAATGTCAGCATCAATTGCCAAAATCCGGTCCAGCATAATGCTGAACTGTAGATCAGTTAAAGACTTTAAAATAATTAGACACCAGCGTTTATCTCCAATATTCACTGAGGAAACTATTAAAAGTTGAAGAATTCAAAACAGTCTGGTTTCTGCTTCAGGAAGCCCGGGATCATTGCTTATATCCACCATTCAGTTGTTATTCATTCAGTGAATGGAACTACAAGGTCAATGCTCCACTCAACACATTGATCGAATTTGTTCTTTCTCTAAGTGAAAACCACTTAATTACTCAGACGCAGAGCCGATAGAAATGTGTGGATGTTTTCCTCTCTGTTTAAAAACAAAAATTAAATTCCATTCACATAACCATTGTTTTACAAATCATCTCCATCCAGAGGAGAACGCAAAAACGACTCAATGCTCAAATGCTTGGCCAGTAATTGGGGATAAAGTGTACATCAGTGACACGTCGAATAGAAAAGCACGCTGGGGTCCATGCATAGACTGTATGGTCCATTTAATATTGGGCAAGGCACATAAACTGTGAATGTCAGTTATGTTGTGCAGTTATGCTACATTTAGCTGCAAACTTGTAAGTAGACCCATCAGTGCTAACCAAACGTTGAGAAACTGGTATCTAACCACCACTGCTCTGTTTGATTCACATCAATACACAGAAACAGTTTTTGAAAATTTCAGTTTTAATGACTTAAAATGCTGTTTGCATGTGGATGACGTCAGGGCCCACACACAAAGGAGCTAAATCCCCACATGTGGGTGATGTTGCTCAGTAAAAGTTACACAGTGTTGCTTTAACTGACAATAATTCTAAGAATTAATTTTTTGAATTTGTTTTTAAGTCTTTTTACAGCAAATTTACTGATTCCACTTCTCAGATCTGATCTTTGTTGGTTTCTTAATAAACGTAATAAACTGTTGATCTTTGGGTGTCGAACCACCTGTTGGACATTATAAGGAATTTGAATGGCAGTTGTAAGGGGTATCATTTAATACAGACAACACAATGAATAATAATCAAGGAAAATAAACAATCTGCAGGTTGATAAATTAAAATAATCATTAGTTGCAACTTTATTGCTGATGACCCCAGTCATTTTTATCGTCAGGAGATCATTCTGCTCAGACCTCGAAAGGCAATTTTACACTCTACTGATTCCTCTTTTCAGAAATCAGCCTCATGATGCAAAATCTAAATGTAAACTTGTATTTAATCACATACACTTTGTTAAATGTCAGACAATTTATATTTTCAGTCCATTCCCTGTTATTTTGAGTATCAAATGGACATTTAGAATTCATTCTGTATAAAATAAAATATTATGGTAACTATGAATTATCAGTCTCATATGTTGCTGTCTGACTCTTTTTGTGCAGGTGAAGGAGCTCTTGACTTCATTCGGGCCGCTCAAAGCGTTCAATCTCGTGAAGGACAGTGCCACGTCACTGTCAAAAGGTTACGCCTTTTGTGAATATGTCGACATCAGCGCCACTGATCAGGTAACAGGGTGTGGGCCTTCTCTGAGCTCATTAACTGTGAAGTTGAGCTGCTGCCCAGAAGCCTCTCTGTGTTCTCCAGGCAGTCGCTGGGCTCAATGGAATGCAGCTGGGAGACAAAAAGCTGATCGTCCAAAGGGCGAGCGTCGGAGCTAAAAACGCCAACCCTGTGAGTGATATATATGTATTTTATTTTTTACACATTTGCTTTTTCTGTCTGTGACCTATAAATACATCCTTCATTGAAAATAGTAAAGAAAGCTTGACTGTAATTGGATTTGTTGCCTCCACTATACAGGCTGTAATGTTCTCACATTGGCAGGTGGTGGAAGTGAAAGGTCAAAGGAGAAATAACTTCCAACATGTTAATTAACTCCACTAAAGATTCAGTACCAGACAGAGCAAGGGGCAGGAAGCACCGGGTATTTTTTGGGGGGAAAATAAATTGCTGACGATGTGTATGTCTATTCCACTACCCGCAGACCTCCATCATAGAGACCCCAGTGACGCTGCAGGTCCCGGGGCTCCAGAGGCTGCAGAACTCTGGCATGCCCACGGAGGTGCTGTGCCTTCTCAACATGGTGATGCCTGAGGAGCTGGTGGACGACGAAGACTACGAGGAGATCCTGGAAGACATCCGCGAGGAGTGCTGCAAGTACGGCAGCGTCCGTTCCATCGAGATCCCCAGACCTGTCGACGGTGTAGAAGTCCCCGGCTGTGGAAAGGTCAGACCTGTGTTAGTACAAATATTTTATTTATATTTTCAAGTTTAAGTTAAGACTTTGCCATCTCATCATGTTTTTTTCAATTGTAAACAAGAAAATATTACAATTTGGTGAAAAGAGTCGGGGAAGAACAAAAATTTTGGTGTGGATGCAAAGATTTTATTTCACCCTGGGAGCAAATATCATGAGATGTCTTTGAAAATACCAGGATCCAAATTCCTGGCATGTTTTTTTTAACATTTTGTCCATACATGAAGTTTGTCAGGAGCTTTACACATGTGAGGAAGCTCAGAGTTTGTTTTAATTACCTCTACCAAGGCGGTTATGTTTTCGCTCCTGTCGGTTTGTGTGATTGGATTTCGCAAAAACTACTGAATGGAATTCCATGAAACTTGGTGGAAATATGGGACGTGGGACAAGAGAGTACTCATTAAAATTGGACGCAGATTCATACATTTTTTAGCCACACTCTTTGACATTTTCCCGGATTTCGAGTAATTCATGGTCTTTATTTAAAAAACCAGGCACATTTAGGGAACTGACATCTATGGGTGTGTGAAATTTGATGTGGCTTGATTGGATTTAAGGAGACTGTTGGGCCTTGGTGGAGGAATGCGCTCTACTGAATGACATACTAGTTTCTACACATATCTAAATTCTTGCTCTGATCTTCATACCTGTTGATTTTAATTTCAGATCTTTGTGGAGTACATCTGTGCTGCCGACTGCCAGAAAGCCATGCAAGCCCTCACCGGCCGCAAGTTTGCCAACAGAGTGGTGGTCACCAAATACTACGACCCTGACATGTACCACAGACACGAGTTTTAAAGCACAGGCGAGTCTGACAGAACATATCCCTCCTCCTTTCATAAACTTGGGTTCCGTTCCTCTAAATGTTGTGAATGTGTCCACAGAGACTGGACCTTGAAAATACATTTTATTACATCTTCTACTTAACAAACAGCAGCGTGTGTTTCTTCAGTACTTAATATTTAACTCCCAGCTTTAGCCTAATACCCCTGCAGTGAACTGAACTCATCCTGAATTCCAAAAAATCTTATCGTCTATGTTACATTTGCAGTAGAATGAATGGGACATGTATCTTATCTAAACCTGAACTAATACTGCCTGACGATGCCAGAGTCACTGTCTATCAAGTATGCACTAAAATGAGAAAAAAAAATTCCCTCCTGAGCACAAACATTATTATTTTTTATTCCAGAACCAGACTTGAGAAGTCATCGTATGTTAATTGTGAGGTTATGAGAAAAAAAGTTATTTATTTATTCAGGTTTTCCAAATGAATTATCTTCCTCTGTACATCACATATTAATGTTCCTTAAACATATATGTTGCTGTTACCTTTGCTCACATACTTACAATAGACCAAATGTCGACTTGTTTTATCCAAAGTGAGA